AACAGACATAGATACACTGAGCCCAGGTGGATATTTAAAGTGACATTAGAGAAAGCCTGTCATATGGCTGGCATACTTATGCTTTACTGTCACCTTGAAAATGATGATCCATTGGATAATACATTGCTCGGCACGACCTATGTCTCCTATATTCATTGCATACGTACAAAAAGGCATATTTGTTGAACAAAAGGCTATTCTCGTATTGCTGGTCTCTGATGCTCGGGGGTTGATCTCTCATGTTAGATATCTTGTGGTTGGCAATGTATGCCTTGCAAGATGCTGTGCTATCTCTTGTATTTGCTCGAAGCTAGGATTGGAGCTGGAAAATTTTTCTAGAGTAGAATAGGCTGGGTTGCGTGCATGAGCTTCTGTTCGCCCACAATTGAGACAGCAACAAGTCCCTGCATGGCTAATGACTTGGTGCATGTGGCAAAATCCTGGTTTTGAGCCAAATATACCTGTTTCTTTGGGATGCAGGTGAGAAATGTCCCGCATCAAACTCATGTTATCTTCTCTTGCTCCTAGAGGCTATTAAAAACAAAGCTTGAAGGAAGTGTCTAGCCACTTGCTGAGAGCAATCAGGGACTGGAACTAGAGTCCAATGTGAGTAACTTTATTATTAGAGAGTATGACAGGTATACATTACCTAGAGTCCAATGTGAGTAACTAGAGAATAGGAAGCATTGGACTCTGCGGTACTGTCCGAAGTTTTGTAAACAAAGGTAAACAAAGCAGCCACAAAGGCGAAATAATAGAGAACACAATCAATAGTGAATGATAGAAGAATAGATAGAGAAAGGAATGAAAATATATAGGTAGCACAAAGGTGCAGAATCACCAAAACTAACAGAGGCTGTATAAAAATGTGCCACATAGCATCTGCACAAGCCATCTTCAAATGAAAAAGGCCAGGTACAAATACTATATGTTGGAATCAGTTCCAAGGTGTATCCTCAACGGCAAGGTGTTGTTACACTGTCTGTAGTCTCTCGCCGGTTCCAAGGTCTCCGTGAAATAGCACCACATATTCCTCTAATTCAACAGCCTCCTCGGATTCTTCCTCAAAACCACCTTGACCCATCAAAGCTTCCACTGCACGTATGTTCCCTGCAACTGTCAAGTTATTGATATCTATTTCCCGTGCTGCAAGGATTGGATTTTTTACCAAGGGTATAGACTCAATAGGTTTTGGTTCCTTGAGTGTTGATTGGAAGCAGGCAAAGTATTTGGGGCCATGATAACACAGATTGTGTAAGAACTTCCAAGAATTGAATTGTTGCTGAGAATTGAGTCCCTGTAAATTAGGAGTGTTGGAGTGAAGGTGTAGGAGATCTTTGTATGCCCTCTTGGATGAGAGAGTGGTCTGGTTAGTGTTACAATTGACATATTGTGTTGGAGAGGAAAGACTAAACTGGAAGTCAAATGTTTCAGGGATCTGTTAGATTGCTCAACTGTTGGTATATAAGACTTCAGGTCAACATCAAAATTGTCGTAAGCATACGATGCAAGAAGGGTTTGTTCAAGTGCAGTGAGTTGTTCATGAGATTTTGAGGCAAGGGAGCAAATGGCACTTTGAACCAAATACAACAAAACAGAAAGGCCCATTTGTGAAAGAGTGTCGACAACTTTTGCTGGAGTATGGGATGAGTGGAGAAATATACCAATGATACTTTGGAGCATGTTTGATTTTTGGTTCGAGCTTTGCATGAGTATACTAAGTATGTCAACTTTTTTCTATTGTACCTATGGGTTACAAGCTTAAAAGAAAAAAACAAAATAATGTACCAATGCCACCACATTTTTCCGCCTTTCTCAATGCTTTCACTCTCAATTTCCAGGCTTGTCAATTGCAGCCTCAACCATGCCTTCTAAGTCAAGTTCATCTATTTGTGCCTAGTATTCTTCTTCTAACTTGTTAAGTGCTACAACATTGGCATCTTCCGTGGCTGGATTTTCAAGGTCTGGATCTGTAGGACATGAATTAGCAGATAGCAAACTCTCGAGTAAGTCCCAAAGGAGAGGTGCGCTGCTTTGGAACTGCAGGGCCATATCTTTGAGACAGAATTGCTCAATCTGCTCTGCTGATGCATTAGATGCATTGAAATGCCACTGATTTTCCTTTGTGCTCAGGGTTTGGAGTTCGGACTGGCATGCATTTTGAACCATCTTTTGGCTCCACCGCAATGGCTGGTTTGTTGGGTCATGACCTGCTAGCGCTTCAATAATCCATGCCCTGTGCACTACTAAGTCTATGACCACCGGATGACTGGCATATTGGTCATCTTGAAGAAGTGAGACAATCAGATCAGAAGGCGGCACTTCACAGAGTGATAATTGCTCAATCAGCAATGCAGTTGAGTACATGATCGATTACAGACTGATAGAGTGGGGCACTGAAATTATTGTGAACTTACTTGCCTATATTGGCTCGTGCTTGACATTATTAATTGGTCTGCAATTGATTTTTGATGTCCGATGGTAGCTGATGTTGAGGCTCATCACTGTCACTGTGGCGAGCCTTTGTTTACCAATGTTAATTTGCAGCCGCTGTGGAGAGAGAGCAAGGAATAAAGTTGTGCTGACTTTGAATTATTATCTTATCTTATCTTATCATATCTAATCTCGTCATTATTTTGTGGCTCTAGGATTAAGTTCTCCTCTCTCAAAACAGTGGCTGTGGAGGAGCCTAAGTATCCATTGGCCTGCAATAGATCTAACAACTTTGAGAAAACTTCCTGTTGCACCCCAAGCTCTGTCATAATATGACCAGGATGCCCATCTACCAATTCCCTGACCCATCCATAGCCTGTCAGGATTGAGTTGTGGTACAGTCTTGGTTTGGGATGTTGCACTTGTTCTTCCACTATAGCCCAAGTAGCGTGTGTGATCGGTTCAATGACAATAGAAGCTAGTTTCAACATCTGTAAACAGGCTAAGTACATCCACAGTTGGCTGCTGATTAGCTACAATATTCAAACCATCCTGCCCCTCTGAATCACGAATATCATCTCCTTCCGTACGAGTTGCAAGATTAGTGTCTGGGTTCATATAGGCAGTATAGCTGATAGCTGATGACATGGTGTCCTAGTACTATCTTAACAATGGGTCGCAGAGCTCTACAATTTCATCCACTAGAGCGGCAAGGCTTTGGCCAGGGAGGAAAATTTCAAAAAAAAAGAAGAAGAAAAAAGAAAAAAAATCTGATCCCGTATGAGCCCGTAGTACCAATCTTCACGGTGATCACAAGCTCATGTGCTTATTTTGAGCCGCTAGCAGTGTGATAACTCGTTTTCACAGACAGTCTCATATCTGCCACATGACAGTTACTGTCCCAAGTATGGCTGTAAGTGTTGTAGAGCAAGATGGAACTGGACGCACGCTGAAAACCAACTTCAAATTGGATGCGCAAAGTAGGTACAATATACTCTCAAAGACAAAACGTGCACAAGGCATACAGCTACTGAAACACATCCCAACCACTGTTCCTCCCCGACGGTTATCCTAGAACGGTCACTCCTGGTATATGTTACTGTCTAGTCTTGTATGTCGGAAAATTTATATCAGTTTGCGTGTGCAGATTATCTCTAGTTTTGTTTTCCCATTAGTGTGTATGGTTGTATGCTGAATAGCATTTCAACGGTTACCAAACATTCAATGCTCTCCAAGTGTTTTGCAGTTCTCTTGCAGGGCTCATCACATCAAGAGCTGTGCTTGAAGGTGCAATTGTACAATGCTTGATGCAACAGACTTAACAAGATGTTTTGCATCACAGGTTATGGTGTTGGGAATGCATCCGCATCTGCTACACAAGCCCTGCTCTTGACAGTAGTGCAGGACATTTTTAGCCGAGTTACTAGTTCATTTTCATACCTGCCTTTAAACTACATGTGTATACTTATTCAAGATGCCTTGGGGGTGTTACAGCAATTCTGGCCGCATATTACCTTAGAACATTGCTGTTTCCAGAAACAAAAACTTTTAGATTCCTTGCAAACATCTTGAATGATATCGCGATCACTATAGACACATTTTCCCCGCTTCTTGGATCCATTTCTTTACCAGTGTATCTACCTCTGGTTCCCTCAAACTTTGCCCCAGGCCTACGAGCCACAGCACTGTGTCTGAGCGGCTGCCTGAGAGCTTTATGCGATGTTGCAGCAGGAGGTTCAAAGGCGTCGTTGACAAACCATTTCGCCTCATCAGTTGGTGGGAAAGGTGAATGTAGGTGATCTGAATGCCAAAGATGCGAGTAAAAAGACTGTACTTGGGCTGTCTGGTATGCTGGTGCGTTAATATTCCATGTGTCCTGCTCAAATACTCAATCAACTGTCAGCTGGGAACCCTTATCATGCTGTATTTGACCACCAGGACCTCAACTCATCTCGTCCTTCTAGTACTTGTTGCAAGTCACTTGCTCACAAATTACTTAGCCGTCCGTGGGGTCCCATTGTGATCGCTCAACAGACAGTGATCCACCATCCTTTGGACAACATACAGGGCAGTAAAGCGACATCACGCACTCAACATATCTGCTCAGGATACCGAGGATCTTATCCTGTCCCCAGAAGAAGTATCTTCCCGAGAACAAATCTTTGAAATACCTTGGACCTTACGAGACGCATATACCAATCAGGTGTTGGGCCACTGTATGCTCGGCTCTTCCCTCTCAGCAATAGCCCCTCAATTGATGTCGCTGATGCAAATGGTGGACATATATGCAAAGGAACGTTACGTGCTTTTCATTGATGCATGATGTTATGGTAGGTATACAGTGCAAGGGACTCTACAGCTGCATGACTGTTTCAAGGAAGGCTATTCGTCCTTGGATCAACTTAAAGCATGGATAAATGCCGCCGAGGTTGCTAGCATGTTCATGAATGGGCCTCATCCTATGACAATTGATGACCGCCTTATTTGCCGTAACATGTGTGCATGCCTTGAATTAGTCAACGCCCATCTCGCCAAATTTATAGAACATGCAAGCGCTACTGGGTGGATTACGGGCAAAGAGGCTCCTATGCTAAGTTCAACTAGCAGTGTTGTTGTAGAAGTGCAAGAGGCTAAAGAGGTTGTCAACAGTGAAGATTTGTTGACAAAAAAATCCAAATGAGGTATAGGATAGGCATGTAAGTCTGCTGCACCTTGTATAAATATATATACTTGATGCGCAATAGATATTGTACTTTTATTGATGTACCACCATCAGGTTTATGGAACAGCATATGAAAGTGTTATTCTGGAATTACCGATCAAAATGACTTTACTCACTGTATTTTCACAGTATACACGCAGTCTGTCTCATTGGCGTGCCAGGTTTGACGGGTACTAACAGGTGGGAGGCGTGGACCCGAGCACTGTTCATGAACAAGGAGTGCGGTGCAAGGCAAAGAAAGCTGGTTCAGTATGATACATCCAGTATTTCTAGTCATGTCGTTTGATAAGGCCACGTCGTGCACAGGTGCTATAACCATTGAATGTGTTGGACAGCGTGGGGTGAATTAGCTTTTGGTGAGCTGTCCTGCTGTATATGTGGTCAGACCGAGTTGCGGTGGATAATCCATCAATGAGGATCGATTCTAGGCCCAATGAGTGGATATGACATTACGGTGGGCGAGAAGGATCAGGTTGCCATTTCAAGGTTTGGGGTTTCAAGGATTCCTTGGTTACACTAAACCCGGGTTAATTGGGTCACATATCCGAGGTTCGGCTCCACTCCCGAAAGCCAAAATGAGCCTTGCCATGTACCACTTGCAGTTGATGTGGACTTTCTATCCCAGTGTCCCCAATGTCGCGCTTGTCATGGTCCACTCTACCAGTGTCATTCCAGATCAACAGGATTCATAAAAGCATAGTAAGTGTAAGTTTCCCTTCTCATTGTTCATATAATCTACATACAGCACATTCAGTGGGTTGGCTGAGCCTAAAATTTAGTTGGAGCATTATGCGTTGTGGTAGGCAGCACCACTGTTGATACTAGTGGCTCCACTAACATTACCAAGAGCACTGTTTAGTCTCCGTCTGCAGGGTATATATTGCCAGGAATATATGCCAGACTATGTTTCCTCTCTTTTTATTTTTTTCTTACTGCTATATTCTCTTAACTTTAGTCGCTCATTTCTCAATAGCATGCCAAGCTGCTCTAAATCCTTTCAAAAGCTCGAAACCACTGATTGTTCCAAATGTTTGAAGCGGCACGCAAACCCAAATGATGAATCTATTGAGGTCAGTTGTTTCTTTTCTATTTGGCCCAGTCTCTGCCTCATTAATGATGGTGTTTGTATAGGACATACCTCAATGTGAATTATGTGGTTGTGTCTTCCAGTTTTTAACAGGAAAAGTCTGTGCAAGTTGTGAAAATGGTACATTAAGTTGAATATGTAGGTATTAAAAAGTTTATAAGCAAGCTTGATAGCACTGCAACCAACATCGCAAATGACTGGTAAGACATAGCTATATCAGTCTGCTAAAATAATTCTCACACGGAGCATAAGCACAAGATATCTCAATTTTGGAGTGTATGCAGACACACTCTGCACAGGCATCGGAGCACCGCCTCAATCAGCGACCTAAGAATGCTGGCTTGCAAAAAGCTTCACAGGTCAATGATGCTGTAGCAGCACTTTGACGCCAGAATTGTACAGAGACACTGAATGTATACCTTAGTATTTTTTTATGTCCAAGTCAAAGGCTCCAAAAAAGGTTTGTTATCTTGTCGAATCAGTAAAAGCTATTGACATGCTCCTTGACATGTAGTATCATATTCCGCTTATCCCTATCAATCTTGATATGCGAGATAATGCTGAAAACATGTTGAAACAAATGCTCATGAAGGCCTCGCACATTTATGAGGAATCCAGTAAGGGATGCAACAGTGTAATGCTATCCTTTGAGCGGTTAGTTATTGAATCACATATATCTTTGTGCTGATAAAAACATTGTGCAGTTAAAATACTATATTTGCTGTTACGCAGTCTGCAACAGAATGTTTCCATCTTGAGCAAGGATATACTTCCGGTGTCACTGTTGGACAAATGTATAATTGGATCAAGTTAATGGGTGTGCTATCAGACAAAGATAAAAAACGGAATGCCCTTTCACTTTGGCTTTTGCTTAATGAGCCAGTACATCATAAAGTTTTTCGGGTTTTATGACACAGTGACCACTGACATGCTTTACTAGACATACCCTGACAAGGATGAACTTGATGAAGACTTCACAATGAAGTCTGCGAGAAAGTCACTTGCCAGTGGTGTAAAGGCCTCACCTAGTACACGACAGTCCAAGCGAAAGCTGCAGTCAGCTGGCATGTATATAATGTTTTGCGAGAGAGGATATACTGATGGTATTTTTCAGAAAATGTACCCGATAGCCCTGTTAAGCGGTATAAGAGTGCTTATTGACCAAGGCTCTCCACAGTGCATATTGAATATGAAGCCTTTCAGTTTCTAAGGTGAGAATGTATTGTTGATTCGGGTGGAAATGTTGATATTGTTGAATGCAATGAAACGGAAACCATCCTTATTGCAAAACATTGGCAAAAATATATCCGTGATATGATTTGGAGAGGAGGCTATTTTTCAGTGCAAGCCAGTCTCTTCGTGTGAGGCTTCGAATGAAGAAGATCTTATTCAAGAACTTCATCTTTTTCACCTTGCTGAATACTTTCTTGAATCTTTCTACAAGCGGGCAAAGCTTTATTCTGTGAATTTGCCTCGTAAGCATTCTGTACATCTGCCATCATTATAACCACATTATTTCTTAGGTATCAAGTGGAATGCCAAAGGCACTTTTGTCGGAATGGTAACAACAGAGATCCCACGCAAACCAACTGATGGTTCAGAAGATGATTGTACTCTGTTATTCAAGACTTTCCTTGCTGCACCCCTTCTATTATGTGATGGCTTATATAAGGAGAGGAAGTTTTGCGGTAATACTGATATCACACAGAATGAAGATTCATTGGGCCTTGTTATTGATGCATATGTTTATCACACATTGTTAGATAGTGGGAAAACAGTGCTATTATCAGATTTGCAAGGTATGGATTTAAATTCTTGGATGTAACAGAACCACAAAGCTAAATGTGAGTCTAGGCATTATTGCTCCAAATGCTACTGTCACATTGTTTGACCCACAGGCTCACACGTATGATAATACCTTGCTCACATTATTTGCATAGCTAATACTTCTTCAGAATAAATCAGTTGTCGGGGCACTGGGACCAGGGTGAAGCCCAAATCCAGATCTATCTACAAGATCACCAGTGCAACACAATTTGTCATGCCCTTAAACTTCATTTAGATGATGAGGATAACAGCACTGGCAAAAAAGATCACGCCTTGTCAGATACTATACATACAAATAGTCATAAACACCCCTTGCAATTAGGCTTTAACTGAAAGGACAAACCTTACACTATTCACAATATATTACTACCAATTTTAATTATAATGGACACTTTACTGGTATAAAAGCGGCAACATCTTTGTGAAGATATGCCAGATATTATCTGAAGTGATCTTGTCAATACCTAAGGTGCCAAAAACACTCTCTGCATGATTAGCAAACTCTGTGCTGACAAATTGAATCAAGTCTTCGCCTCCAATACTTTCCTTGAGACGGCAAATGACTGCCAGGTCAACAGGCAGTAAGCAGATTTTACCACCATATTCATTTGCCAATGCAATGGCAATATTTGGTGAAACTCCAGATGGTAGCTTCTTTGCTGCATCAAAGCGAGTTGGATGGTTATTTAACCGCTCCCTAAGATGATTGAGCTTGCATTGAATGAATGTTGACCATAGCCATTGACCAAGTTTGCTGCCACAGCTCATGTCATTGCAGCACAATCAGAAAACACTATAAAGCTTACTAATGTTTTTGGTCCGTTGAATTATAGATACCTTCACCAGCTTCCCACCAGATTTTTGCATTTGCACCCCATTGCAGATGAAAGCGCAGCCACCCTCGCTCAATAACAATATTTTTGACACTATGTAAAAAGCAATGAGGGGGGAGGGTCTCAGTAGAGTATTGTGGCGTAAACTCTTCACTAAATATTTTGTCAGGTAAATATTGCATGATATAGAATAACATACCGCAATGCATTTGCAAGACCAAACACTTGAGTTGTCTCGCTTCCGCAGTCTGTTGTCATTTGAAGAGGCATCCCCCCAACACTTTCAATTGTGCTCAGGTAAAAATAAGCAATAGCGTCTTTCAAACGGTTGTTAGGAACAACCGACAGACCAAGCCACTTTCCTGACCACTTATCACGAACTCCCCATGTTGGGAAGCCAATGTTTGTAAGTTTGTCATGACCATCCCTGGACCACTCATGATGAGGACCTAGCGCAAAAAGGGGTTCTCAAGTAATTCTATTTGCTGTTGGGTCACAAAGCTCAAATCCCCCAGGATCATGACAGCGCATTTCACTGGTGATGAAGTCTCGACTTAAGTGGATTCCACAGTCAAAAGCAATCCCTTCCTTAATTAAATCAGGTCCTTGACAGCGAGCTGGATCTTTTGACATCTGATCTAAAACCAGCTAGCGTTTGACAGTCATAGACAATGTATGTGATGTAGTGCGACTTCCATAAAGCCCCAGGAAGGAGCAGCGTCGTGTGACACTTGCCTCACTAGATAGTTTTTGGTCACTAGTAAATCAGTACCATAAAATACACACCTCATGCGAATATGGTGCTCTACCCACAACAACTTGCTGATTGACTTCTTGTTTGTAATGTTTTTGTGGTGGTAGTCTCAAAGTATTGTGGCCACAGAATCATCATCTGCCAAAGCTAAGTTACATATTTTGAGTGATTGGATCCTAGCAACTGGCAAACACTTATGACAATGCTTGTGCTGATTCTTCCCCTTAGGATTGGGAAAAAAGGATGCCACAGCATCAGTATCTGCCACTGAAAGTATTTCTGTCACTCCCTCGCCATCAGCCATGAGGGTAAAGACTGAAGGTGACAATGGAGCTGCGTGGCAAACAAGAATGGAGCCGAACCTCGGATACGTGACCTAATGAACCCAGGTTTAGTGCAACCGAGGAATCCTTGAAACCTCAAACCTTGAAATGGCAACCTGATCCTTTCTCGCCCACCGTAGACATGTTATCGGGCGCCACCAGTGTGACAAGAACGTGGGCAGCGACAGAAATGTTGGCTAAGCTGGTCTGCGATGTAGGTGATTATGTAGACAGTTGGGACTGTGGAAGTATATTGACGACATTATGCGACAGCAACAGGAATAGACCACAGATTGGGCCGTATACACATGTTGTGTTATGGCTCGAGCCACTGGAAGGCATTACTGTCTCGATGAGGATATGACATCTGGCAGATGAGTTTAACGACGTGCGTGAACCGGGTCGATGGTTTGAAGGCGCGACGTGCTTCTCGGTACCTTGGTCGCGACCCCAGACAGCACCGCCCTTGGACGTCAATTTCAAAGCTCAAGAGTTTAATTCAGGACCGTGGGGGATCAGCTAACCTTCTTTAGACGCTGCATTCTGCCATTCTCACGCCATCTGTCCATCTTCGGTCTTCTAATCCCTTGCTCTCAACATCCAAAGTTAAGTTTATTTCTTCCATCTCTCCTCGCCTCGCCTCTCCATTTCACCATTTTTTTTTTCTCCATCCCTCCATGACACTTCCCCGCATTTGTCACCCATCGCCTCCGCTTCGTTCGTATTCCCCCATTCTGCTATCTCACCTCATCATCCGCCATTATCCTCGCGCTACTCGGTCGATCCACTAATCACGACTCTGGTATCGTATGATAATATATCAATATAGCCTGTGTACTCTCGAACCTTAATGTATGACTTGAACACAGCCATCCGATTCGCGATCATGGTCGCGCAAAAATAATCACTCACACAATGAGCACTGCTACTCAACAGTGCAGAAACATATCGAGCATCTCAAATAAAAAGGACCACAGAACAGTGATTATTCATTGCGAACAGCGAAACGTTGCCGTGTACACAATTTCCATAATCGAACGAGAAACTGATACAAAAGAAAGAATGGAACAAATAAACCGTTATATCACCCATCATATTCAAGACAGTCATGAGTTAAACCAAGCGGGTAGTAGAATTGTGATGGAAGGCGACATGTTATATGCAGTATGATGAGACAAACATCACAACAGCAGGATGGAGGGTAGGCAGCGCCGAAAACGAGGGAATACGGCATAGATAGGGCATCAATAGATAGAAAAACACAATCTACCGCTACCGTCTTCACTGCGATGGCGGGGACGTTCTGTCAAGCTTGCGATTTCGAGAGCGTTTTGACAGGGAGATACCGAACGAGATTTTTGGATAGTGGGACCGCCGTAATGAATCGTAAATCGTGAGGACATGACGATTGTGCGAAGAACGAGTGCAAGTCGAACGTGAGGATGTATGCAGGTGAAGGAAGCAGTGGTTTCGTGGCCATGTCGTCCTAGACGGACGCGGGAACAACAGGCCTACTGGAGAGAGCGAAAAACGTGACAGGACAGGACGGTGGGCAGTGCTGAGTGTGTTTGGCAGCGACAAAGCGCTCGAGTCGACCCGCAAAGTAAAATCAAGAAAAAATAACCCAAAAAATAAAAAGCACCATAAATCGCAGTCAACCAGTCGGTCTTTCACGATGGCCAAGTCTGGAAAGAACTTGAGCGAAACGAAGGAGAGAACGTCACACGTCCATATCCTCCGCCTCACCCTCCTTTACCACGCCCGCCCTGCTCCTCTCCCGTTCGCGATCCCTCTTCCTCCCTCTCACAAGCCCACCTGAGTTTTCCTCACCATCGTCCTCACCCTGTGTGCTCACTTCACTTTCTGCACCCAGCCCAAACCCCTTGTCGACCCCAAATCTACCGTCCTCGTCTTCGTCTTCAACCTCCATATCCTCTGGCATACTCTCAAGTTCAAAGCGATGGTGCGAGAAATACGGCATCTGACCCACGCCAACGCCCTCCATGTCCCCAAACCCTTCCACCATTCCCACGACCTCGCGCCCAAGACCGAGTACACCATCATGCAACATCATTCCGTTCATCCCATCCGCTTCGCCCTCCTCGCCTCCTTCTGAAATCTCTTTCCGCCTGTCGTTGTCTCGTCGGTTGTGGTCAGGGGTGGAAATATCGCCCTCGCGCTCCTCATCGCCGTCTTTGGGAGGAGTCAATACACCCACGGATGACTCTGGCGTCTGCATGCCTACCCCACCCATCTTTTCCTCGTCGCTCTCTTCGATTTTTCTTTTCCCATTTAACTTTCCGTGTGCTTTTGGCTTTCCGTCACTAGCAGGATCACCGTCCCTGACTCCAGCCAACTGACTCTCAAGTTCCCTGTTTCTCTCCGCCTGCACACTGACAAGCTGTTGTAAATAGCGAATATACTCGACGCTCTTCCGGAGAATCATTCCCTTGTTTGCTTTGATAGTCGAGTTTTCTGCTGCACTATTCGCGTTAGTGGGTGTGCCATTGGCGCTACCAGAAGCGGGAGGGGAAGCACTGTTGGGAAGAGTAGGCGTGACGCCGCTGGCGCCCTCGTCCTCGTCCTTTTTCACGGCATCGTCCGCATTTGAGGATAAAGGAGCTGTTTAACCTTTCAGAAACGAATCGATGGCGGGTAAAGACGAGACTCACCACTCGGATCGAGCATACACTCGGGAATGAGGGTTGCGAGCTCGCTGATCTTCTCGTTGATGTTGTCCCTCCTGCGCCTCTCGACTGCATTGTGGCTCTCCCGCCGCCTTCTCCTCTTTTCGTGAGCTAACAAGGCCTGCTTTGTGACGGGGTCAGCGTTCGTTTCCTTTGCGAGGGAACCGTTGCCGTTCGATAGGCCAGCACCGAGAGAGGTGCCGATGCTTGCGCTCATACCACCGATTCCCGTACTACCCAAGCTGCCGACGCCGACGCTGCCAAGACTGCCTACGCCCATTGAGCCAATATCGCCACCGATGATACTGCTGACTTCGGAAGGGGAGATGCCCATACCCGAATGGGAGTGGGAGTGAGCGAAAGGATGGGTGATGGAATCTGGAGTTGGCAGGGAGTACTCGCCGGCGCCTGCGGTTGTTGTGTGGGAAGAAGAAGGGGTATGAGAGGACATGAACCATGCGCTAGTATTGCTGGATAGGGAGTGAAGAGAGAGGGGGGAGACTGGGACGCCATTGTTGATAGAAGGGTTGTTGGTGGCGTTGTGGTTCTGGTTCTGCTGATTCTGACTTGTGGAGGAGGAACGGCCGGGGATGAGAATAGCGTTTGGGTGTGGGCGGTGATGCGAGTGTGGAGGGGGAGGAGAGACAGAGGAGAGGGAATTGTTGCGACGAGAGCGAGTGGTAGTGGTGCTGCGTGTTGGGCCAATGTCGCGTGAACGAGATCTGGAGCGGGAAGGATTTGTAGGAGCTGTTGCTGTGTTTATTGGAGAGGGAGTATGTACAGACGGTGTACTAGCTGG